TTGGAGTGATGTTTATTTTCTCTTTTACTCTTATTAAAGGGTAGTTCGTACAATGCAATGCATGAGAAATAGATGTTAAATGAGTCGTTTTCATATGACTTGACATTTTTTACCTAAAGAATAATAGATAAATGAGAGATAGAAAAAGACAAGAGAACAAAATTAATTATAGAAATCTCACTAAAAAATTTACTAATTATTTGACTGTTTGCAGGTCTCTTCGTATGTGTTGTCAGGAAAGAGGAGGACTCAATGATTATTCGTTCGTCGGAACCAGAAGTAAAAATTTTGGTGGATAAGGATCCCATTAAAACTTCTTTCGAGGAGTGGGCCAAACCGGGTCATTTCTCCAAAACAATAGCTAAAGGACCTGATACTACCACTTGGATCTGGAACCTACATGCTGATGCTCACAATTTTGATAGCCATACCAGTGATTTGGAGGAGATCTCTCGAAAACGTCGGATCATTTATTTTTCACCACTTGTAATGATCATTTTTTTTTAAACATAAGTCTGCTAACAATAGCTAAAGGACCTGATACTAATTTTTTTTTTTATTATTGAACCCATAGCGTTATGAATACTTAGCCAATGTTTCCTTTCTAGGATGGGATTGGACTAAAATAGTCCAATTGTGAAGGATTGTCTGTTGGGATAAAGCTAATCCTATGTTTGTTATATATGATAATGGGTAGGATAACTTTAGCTTTAAAAAAAAAAATATGTAGGTGGTGTAAAATACTGTTTTAGCCCTTTGAAATAAATCAAAAGATAAAAGCTAGGCAAAGATGGTATTGTACATGCCAGGATTGTTGATATCCCCCCAAATAGATGGGATTGAGTTATCCCATGAAACCAAGATTACATGTGTTTTAATCCTGGGCCAAAGGGATTCCAGCGGGCCGCCATCCTTCCAACCAACAGGGGATTAAGGCAGGATAAGGCGGGATATCCTGCCTAATCCTGCAAAGCAAACATGGGCTTAGAGTATCCATAATGCATTGGGTTTATTCAAAAATACAGGTCATGTAGAAAATAGACACAGTATAGAAAAATGTATACTCCAATGCAAGTGCAAGTGAACCGGGTCCTACTTATGTGGCAGCATGAAAAAGATACCCGCTCTAATCGTAAGTCAATTTTACACTCAAGTAGAGACCTAGATTTTTTACATTAGAGTTAAATTTGTTAATTTTATATATTTTGTGTATGTCATCCAAGACTTAAGTCTATTTACATGCCACGTACGTATGTACAATTAGACTCAAAACATTGTAGATGAGCATACACAATGCTTTGGGTTCAATCACAAAAAAGTATATGTCACCTAAGAAATAGACACAGTCTAAAAAAATATATTCTTCAACGCAAATAAAAGTAGATTGAGTCCTGCTGATGTGGCAGCACAAAAAAGAGACTCGGTCTGCCTTTAAGTCTATTTTAGACCCAAGTAGAGACCTAGTCTCTTTGCGAGTGAATTTTGTTAATTTTACATAGTTTTATGCATGTCATCCAAGACTTAAGTTTATTTACATACTACATAGGCAATACTAGACCCAATACATTGCGCTCAATAAAAGATAATAGACACCAACTCAACTTCAAATGCCTAAACGAAATGATTTGTCGGATTATTTTTTATAATTATTATCCTAATCAATGTCCAAACATACAAGTATATATACACCTAATGCTTGATCCGTGAATTATACGTTTAGTTCTATTATTTTAATTAATCCGTCATATTTAAAATGAAGTAAATAAAATAAAAACGAGCGTAAGGGATTTGTAAGATAGGTTTTATTTTGGCACTAATTTAAAAATCTATAATTGTTCATTATCTAGATTTCTTAAAATAGAATACTCGGATGTATTACTTGAAGGAAATAGAAAAACTCAATTATGCTAAACTTTCTATTGTTTAATTATATATTAGTGAAACTATTCTTGTAGGATTTGTGGCGCCGCCTCACATTGTGATAAGCAAGGATGGTCCATATATAAGAAAGAGAGAGAACGTGCTGAGCTATCAATAAACTTGAATGTGTGCATTGAGTTGCCTAATTAAGTTACAAAGATTCAATTTCCACAAATGAATTGACGATCTAGAAGATTGAAAGCTAATTTCGGACATACATACCATTTTAGGAAAACTTCTACAAAGAAAACATTTTTCACTATTCTAAAGGAGATAGACGAGAGTATTCTTGTATTGTGAGAAATAAGTAGAGTTCAGTTTTCATTTTTAAGTGTTCAAATTTCAAAGTCAGTTCATCAATCAAAATTCGAACCAATATTACCTTGTAATTCATTTTTGGTGCTTGGTATGAGCATTTGTCATTGTTCGGAGGGATCTGTGCATGCAGTCTAAGTTCACGTCATGACCAAAAATATATATATATATATATAGATTTGTACAATTTGACCAAATACTTAGTGAAAGTGTTATGATGAAGAGTGAGACACATTTTTTTTTTTTTTTTTTTTTTTTTTTTTTTTTTTAATCTGAGTGAGACACTCTCTTAATCAAAAATTCTATGGAGCTATCGGATGGTTTTCTTATAGAGTCATTCACCACTTAATGTATTAACACCTGTCCAAATTGTATTTATTGTAGGACACGTGTCAATACACTATTGGTGAATAAGTGTGGATGACTCCATAAGTCGAGCTATCTGATGGCTCTATAGCAAAATTGCTCTCTTAATAGTTGATTTTCGATTATTGTCTTATGCAAAGATTTTGAACTTGCATTGTTTGTAAAAGCGTGTGTTTTACTCACCTGAAATTTGGGATTAAATCATAGACTAAAACTATACAATACCGTTCCCTACCATTGTCTCTTATATTTTTCTTTTTATATTTTTCTTATTTACATAAAGGTTGTAAAAGGGATAATTAATTTTAATTGTCTCATCTCATCTAATCCAACGAAAATCTATGCCCTTTAACAATTAGTATAAGATGTGGGGTAATATTTCTGATTCCTTGATGGGAACTAGCTAGTCCTGAGTGGACACCCTTTACAACATGCTACACATGCTACTTATTGAGATTTTCTATTTATTTTTTCTTTCTTGTTTTCTAAGACCTCCATATAGGAGGTCAAATGAAGTATTCAATTAAATAATTTCACTTTAAAAAAAATATATATATATATCAAATGATTTCTCTTATGAACTTGGGATTGGGATAGTGGAGTGAGAGGTGGCCCAATCAATAAGAAATAATTATTGAGACATGTTTAATTAGCCACTCTTTTGTGTTATTTTAGTCCAAAATAATGTGAGACGATTTGATCAATTAATACTAAATGTAACATAATCCTATAAACTGTAAAAAGTGGGCGAACTGTAACATGCGTGGGCAGTAGCGCAGGTGAGGTAGTTTGGCTGTTATTATTATTATTATTATTATTTTATTATTTATTTATTGTCCTTTTACTTAAGCCTATAGTTCATATATTTAATAAAATTCAACCTGCTCCTAATTTGAATTTTTGCTATGAAGTCATCGGATGGCTCCATAGTTTCTAGATTTAATAAAATTCAACCCGCACCTAATCTGGATTTAATATAAAAGTTCATGTCTTATCCAATGCTGAATTTTTGTAAATATATAATCTCTATATTATATATTTATAAATTACTTTCTCAATGGTTATTACCTTTCCATCTATGTCTTCAACTTTAGTTATTATTTTTCATCTTTAATATTTTTGTACCATGTAATTGGAGAAATAGTC